ATACCTAATATAAATTTAGTTATATTGAAAGTTAATAATTGTAATAGGAAGACAGAATCTTTATATCCATAAACTTTTAATGTATCATGGGGAGAAGACAATTTGATTTAGCTTTTCTATAAATTCACTAAAAAAATGTGTTCACTGCTACAAAAAATTGTGTTCAATGATACAAGCCCTCTGAACACATTTTAAATTTTCTTTTTTGCTTTCTAAACAGAAAATGTCTTGTGTGACTTTCACATAAATGAAATGATCCAATTCTAAATATGATTTAGTCCATGTAGATAATTGAAATAAAAAAATACTGCATTGATAACATTATAGAACAAATTTGAACTTTTTGCTTTTCCTTGTGTTGAAAGTGCCATTTCCTAATTGTTCTCAAAGTACGGAAAATGTCCATTATGTTCCATAGACATTGATTTGCTGATGTAAGACTTTGATTTATAACTAATTTTAATTTTTTTTTTCAATTTTTGACAAATGACAGCTTCTTGTGATGAATAGGCTGCTTCAAACTGGTTTATTTTTTTTTTATACAATTAATCAGTTAAAAAAGTGTAGAGATTTTAATATATAAATGTCCCAGAGATGGTATCAAGAGGTTGAAAGCATTCGATAGATACTTATTGTTTTGTCTCCAACCAGTTTATGAAGAAAAGAGCAAAAAGTACTCTGTACAAACTGTCTTCGGAAATGTGTGAGGCCTACAAAGCATATTTCAGCATGCCTATTGGGGATCAAATATAAAACCTGATTACTTTTTAATACTGCAATTGATGTGGTCTATGAAGGGCAGTGTGTAAGTCAACAAAATGAATAACCTTTATATATTATTTGTGATACCATCAATATGTAGTATGTGACATTTTGTCTGTAATTAAGAAATTGAATTTTAGTTTTATGTCACCCAAAAGACCTGTAACTTTTTCATCCTTATACAACAATGTACATTGAAATGATACAAACAAAAGAATGTGTCAACTTGTGGATAAATATAATATTAAAATGTATATAAAAATGAATAAGCCCTCTTAAAAAAATGGAGAAATATGATTACAGCTGTCTTTTGTTGATTTATACATTGTTTTATTTATAGCTTTTTTATTTACCTCTTATTTCCTGTTTGTAATTTGGTTTTGAATGTTGTAGAATAGTCTGTTAATTAAAAATAAATAAATATTTTATTTATTTTCAATCATATCATAAATATATTCTTTGTAATTTTTAAATTAAAAAGATAATAAAATATTTCACTTTCTTTAAAAAAAAATTGACATAATTCATAATCATACATCAGAATCACATTTTGCCAATATAGCTGTTATGATTTTATTATTTTCAGGTACATGAAAACTGTGAAATGAAAGAGGTGTATTGGGTACACAAGGTGGTTGCTTCTGCATAAATAAATAAATTAAAATGTACCTCAGTCCAAATGTGAAGTTTTGAACATCTGTCATGGTGTTCACTTCTTGTTCTTGAGTTTGTGAAGGTGCTTGGGTTGGAGTCGTCTGGTTTAGAGGCATGAGGTTTGAAGATACTTGATGTGCATATTCTTGATTAAATGGCTCCTTGTTTGGGGACCCCTGAGGAGGTTTCTGATTCACTATGCCTTGGTTTGGTGGAACCTGATTTGGAGGAATTAGGTTTATAGGTCCTTGGCCAAAATATGCTGAGCTTTTAAGAAATGCTTTTCCTCTTGATGTTAGTTGTCTAGGAACAAAACAAGATAAAGTTTACAACCAAACAAACAAACACTTAAAGGGCTGTTTCAAAATTGGTTATAAGTACAAAAACAAAATACATTATTTTGCTAGTTTCACTATTTCACTGTTGTAATTGAAAAATTAGCTTCATTCACAATCTAAGAATTAGAAAACAATATTTTTTCTTCTGCAACCTTATATTAAGGACTATTAAGAATTAATACAATGAAATTAATTCTAGGAACAAGAAGACAATTATTATTTTAATGGACAATCAGCTTTGAGCTTGAAGTATGTCAATACATTTGTTGCAATATCTAAAATGGACTAATTAATCAATACAGATTTGATTCATTGAATAAATGCAACATTTTTGAGAAAATGAAATAATAAAAATTATTCTACACTTGATGGGCTGAGTTTCAAAACCAGAAATGTCCATTCCCTCAGTTTCAAAACAAGCCAAGTGAATTTTGGTTCATTATTAATAGACTGACAAAATTTTTTGTTTAGTTTCCAGCTGGGTCCAACTTATCAGCTATAGAAACAGGTGTCTTTATTGTTCTTTTTTATTTCTTAGGTTAAAAAATAAAGCAAAAATAACCCTAGATCTATTATGTAAATCAAATGCTAATCTTGTTAACAATGAATATCTTTTGTTATTATCAGTTTTGTTTACACTATTTTTGTAGATATGTTATTCATGAGTTTTCTTAAAATTCAAGTGAACTCGGTCAGTTTGAAAAAAAAACCTCAGCCCTTTATTTACCAACTTGAAATGAATGTAAATGGAGAGTAAGCACTTCAATGAAATCAATTTGCTCTAAAAGAATTGATGAGAAATAAAAATGCAATATTACAGTAAAAGACAGCAAATAACCTGCTTTGTGAAACATGAAGTTCATTAATTTTTCCATTGAAAACAGTTTTAAAATGTGCTCTTACAGACAAAACTAAGAATATACCTTTTCAATTATTATTGGTACCAATTACTTTGTTAAAATTTTGACCATTCAATGTAACACACTGATATTGATCTACTGCTTTTTTTAACCATTTTTATTTTTACATAAATGGATATTACATTTATGATCCGCAATACAAATTTTAAAAGACTTTATGAAAGATGTTGGTAGTATTCACATCTCTATTCTCTGCAGAAATAAACTTGCTTTCAAATTTTAATGCAATAGTGTACTACATTTTTCTTCAGATTTTTACATTTGCATTATTTCTCAAGAACGCAAGTAGAGCTCATGAATAGAGCTGTCTTTGTTATGTTGTACTTTGTCTATGAATAATTTTGGTGAAACGAATTAAATTCAGATTCAATAGATTAGATCAGAGTTGTTCAACTGGCGGCACGTGATGCCATTCATTGAGGCCTGTGAAATGTTATTAGTTAATATGAAAGTTTCTTGCATCCATGTTGTGTGAGAATGTTGTCAATACCACTTTAATGTATAAATAGGCAAAGTTTAAATTTATGGATTTTTTCTTCGTAAATTCCCAATTTCAAAATCATCCCATTGTTTCACTACGTTATTGTAAAACCTGATATCATGCATGGTTCCATCCCCCCTTCCTCACTTCAGAGCATCTGGGTAAATTGATGAGATCAATGATACGGGATCACATGTGGACCACCCAACTAATGAAAATATGGCTTGCAACTATATTAAAATATATAGTTTTGGCCATTTGAGGCCTTGGAAGTTGGACACCCCTGGATTTGATTAAAACTCATACCTAATATTGGTTCTGATTTAATTGGAAGGAATTTACAGAAGTGGAATACTGCATATTTTTGTACAACGTCATTCCAATTTGGAAAAAATCTTTGATCAGAATCTTTTTTGAGAATAAAAAAAAAGAAAATTCTGTTTTAAAAAGTATTAGAACTAGTTATTTCTTTTTTATTTCTTGTGCTAGGAGAGTTGTTTTTATTAATAGTGTTATCAGCATAACAATAACTTGCAATTTTTAATTGAATCAGAAGTAACTCTTCTATACACTTTACAATCACAATACTGCCAAAAGTAAAAATGATCATTTTTGAAGAAGTATTTAATAATTTTGAATCAAAAGGAGAATTAGTAAAAATTACTTTAGGAAAGAGAATAATGTAGACTAACTCTCAATAGTAATGCACATTGAAATAAAAGTATAGTAACTATTTTTGAAAATTCAACTGTGCCATTTCTTCAGAACATGGTCTTGATTGCTGGTATTTATATACACCAAATTATTGAACAAGTAGATTTTGACTGATGGCAGTATTCCACTAGGTGAGCAATTTACTGAAAGAGTGTTTTGACTATCCAGCATCAGGTTATCAATTTTGCATATCTGCAGCAACAAGAAGAACTTACTGTTTCATCAATTCTTGGTTCAAATATTGCAAGAACAGTGAGCGATGTAAGGGTGGGGGCGAGGTAGGCCTCAACCCACTTTCACTAAAAGATGCAGCATGAGGTGAGCTAGGTCCTGGCCTCAGAGATTCACTAGTTGGTCCAGCATAAGATAAGCTATGTCCTGACCAAAGAGTTTCTGTAGACAATCCTATGTCTGGTGTGCTAGGTCCTGGCCTAGGAAATTCGCTAGATGATCCTACACCAGGTGACCTTCGCTCCAGCCTAGGAGAATCACTTGAAGGTCTTGAACAAGGTAAGTGCTCCTCTGAACATGCAGACTTTAGCTTGCATGACTCTGCAGATGGAGAAGTCAAAAACAATGTAGACACACTTCTTCCAAATCCAGGGTACTCCATAAATTTCATATTTTCTGTTCTTAGATCAAAGAGTGATGCGGTTCTCCTCGGTCCCGGCAATAAACGCATTTCTCCCTGGAAAAGGTCCTTCTTTTTTATTCTTTAGTTTCATTCTCCAATTGGGGAATGAAAACAAAATATAAATAAAAACAACACATACAAAGCAACTGATACTGATTAATGGTAATTTCATGTCCTTTAATTCATGGTGTTGCAGATTTTCATACGCATATTGTGTCTTTGAAGTGGCAATCATACAACATTCCTATAAAAATTAGCAACCCCATGAATTAATGGGCATGAAATTACCATAAGCCAGTATCAGTTGCTATGTATACATGTTGTTTATATACACACACAGGCATGCACTCCTCCCCCAAATGAGTTTCCAAAATGGATACTCATTGTCTGTATCCCTGGGTGGACAAGTCATCACTTCTAAATTCAATTAAACTTAAGTCACAGTTGCCACTTCTCCAAGGTCAGCTGAAAGTTTTAGTTTCTGGATAAGCATACTGCAACTTAAAATGAAGTAACACAAACAAATTAACAGAATCAAAACATTATTAGAATTTCTTTCTCTACCCAGTTTCATGACACATTCTACTATCTTATTTACACTACAAGCTCCTCAATACAGAATTTAACAGATAATTAATTATCAAAATGAACAAAGTATTTTTAACATCTAGAATCCAACTCTTGGATTACACCAATATTAAACATAATTTGACTGGATCTAAAAAGTCATGATTCTACATTTCCTGGGGTTGATAATGAGTTAAAAATGATCCATTCAGTGATTCTGTAACTTATTCGAATTGTACCCATATAGCTATTTACAAATATAAAAATTATATTTCAAATTCTTTTCTGGAGAGGCAAATTTACTCTGTTTTCCTCTGAATATTGAGCGTCACCCATAATTTTCAATTGGCATGCAATACCCAAATATACATAGACATACAATACACAAGACCAACTTTCTATCCCCAAAGTATCTGTTTATATATGCAATAAGTGATTACTTACCATATTCTCAACTTCATCATCACTTTCTTCAATTCCTTTAGGAAAGGTTCTCTGTCTTTTTTCATGAGGCAACATATTCCACAACAGATTGTACCAGAGTGAAGATTTATTCCTAAAATAAATATTGACATTGGTTATCAAAGTATTCAAACCCCCAATCAAACATAAAAGGAGTAAGTATTTCTGCTGGCCATAAGATCAAGTCTGTAGGTACACATAAGATGTGTAGAAATCAAACAAACCATTATCTACACATTCACCTCTAACAACATGCACTTTAGTAATTCTGCTAAAGTAACAAAATTCCACACCACACACCCTTAAACGAAAAAAGTATTAAGTCAGTAAAAGATCTTACATAATCCACTGATAATAGTAAAAAGCAAAAAGGTTCCTAATAAACTGATAAGTGTTGAAGAGATTCATTAACAAAATGTACTCATTGTTTTTGCAGCAAGCATAGATATTGAATCTAGATATTGACAGAGAAGGTATAGAAATTACATAAATCAGTGTATTGTTCTCTACATCATCTTCCACATTCATTCTCATAATTTCCTCATCTTACATTGCAAAAACAACTTCCATGTTTATGTAGCAGTGTCATGGAATGATTTGGCACTTTGAAGATCTATTCATAAAACAAATACACATATTAGTTAGTAAAGCTTTGAGTTCACTTTTCAATCAATAAAGCAAGAAGTTTTTCTTCTGTTGGAGGGAACAAGTTTATAAACAAGGCCTACATAGAAAGTTTATAGAAATAAAAGTATGTTATCTGATATTTACTACCTCTACCTATTTCTACATTCTTTCGCTTTGTGTTCAACATAATTTCCTGGCTATATTTTGCAAAAGTCCAGAGACTATGAATTTTTCAAAATCATTTCATGCGACAACATATCAGGGAGCATTTCATGTTTAGAAGATCTAAGCATAAAACAAATATCCATATACAATTAACAAAGCTCTGACACATTTACTAAGAAGAGTCTAGTAATATAACATAGAAGTCTTGATGTAACTAAATCACACCAAAAATTGAAAATCAGCTAATAAAAAAGTCATATTTGTTAAAAATAGTAATGAATTACCAAGAGATGAGATCAGTTATCAAAAGTTCTAGTAATTAAATGTAACCACTGGCAGAAATTTCAAGTGCATATGTAAATAAAAAAGGAAATAAATGTAAAGAGATCCTTGATCCAAAAATCACAAACTCTTCAACCAAATTCATTCCATGCCATAATACTTGTCTTTGTTTCTGGTTTAACATGACAAAAATAACTTCTATATTTATGTCGCAACATGTTACAGTGTGCTTGGTACCATGCTAATTTATTCATAAAACAAAACTCACTTATCAGTTAAATAAATCTTTTGGGTCTCTAATAAACAAAACATAAATAAATGCATGTTAGTCAAGAATTCGATAGTTTTCAACAAATGTAAGGCATATACTAGTAGGCAATAAACTGTCTTTGAAGAGGTGATCTAAACTACCACAGTTATTATAGTTTCTAACTGAGAGACACAGATTAAAAGTGGTCAGGAAAGGGTAAGATTAAAGATTCTCTATCTGATATTCAATACTACCTTCCCTTTTTGGGATAAAAAAGTGATACAATTATTTAAGTTTAAAATCTTTTAGGTGTTAAGCAGCAAATATTTGTATTTACTGATAAAGTAATGCAGAAGTATTTTAAGCACACATTGACTTTGACAAGTAGCAATGTCATAAACATTCACCACATCTAGATACTGAGATTTCGTTAGCGACATTTCTACTTAATATCTTGAAGAATGAGTCAACTACATTGCCATTTACAGTAGACCTATCACCGAAATATGTTATTAAAGAATATTTGTTCAAGAAAGGGAATAATGTACTTTAGCGTTCGCCTTTGAGAATTCAGTCAAATTAGTAAGACATATTTTCTACATCTTTAAGACACTGCAATGTCAAAAACATACTTTTTCGCTCGATAGCCAAATTGGATATAATTTTAAACTAAATGCCGCCACAACAATAAAACCTCTGAAGTAAATTCACCAAACTATCACAATCTTGAGGATCTCTTGAATCCATTCACAGGTTATGAGCAATCTACTTTTACCAGTATTACAAACAAAATGGAGGACAATAGTTTTCCCCTTTGTTGGGTACGAGTGCGCATGAGTAACTCCCAAGATCCTCATGGTGTCATTTAAATCGTTAAAGTTTCTCTAATGTTAACGTTTGAAGCATTCGTCCTTAAGTTTATAAGGATTATTTATCGGAGTTTTTTTGAAAACGCCTGACGTTCGAGATCCCTCGAAATAAGTAAATTACTCATTTCTAACCGGCCTCCTGATCCTCAGAATGATGCAGCCATTTTGTTTTCGAACCATAGCTTTCAGTCATTTCCAGAACAGTGCTCGAAGAGAGAAAAGCTTCTACAATATACGCATATACTTTGTTTTCCTATGACAAAAATATTCATATTAATGATAAGATCTTCAATAATAACTTTAGGGTCTACTATGATACTTCTGAAAATCAATAAATATATAATTAGTAATAAATTATAAATAGTTAAAATTAAACTGATTAACGGTGGCTAATTTTACTCAACTATTTCGTAAACCTGGGGAGGGTGCAACTGCTTCCCCCAGCCTAATTGGTAGATTATTTTGTGTATCTTGTCGCGTCACCAGATAATTGATCCCGTAATTGTGGTGCATATCGCAGGAACTAACAACAATCTTTCCCAGCTGGAATGCGAGATCCAGTACCGACCTTCATGACGACCAGCGGGAGTTTACTGGAGCAGTGCCCTTGGAATAAGAGTTTATTGGAGCGACGCGCGGTCGTTTATTCGAGTAGTGTCCTGGCATTCCCCTGGTACTGATCGGAGGAACCACGAAAAACTAAGAATCAGAGGAGCCGGCCGCTAGAATTTTTCTCCAAGCAGTGGATGAATTTAGTCTAGCTAGCGTCGAATGTTCGCCACTCTCAGGACTCGAAAAGCCCGGGCCCTCCCAGAGATCTTACCGCGAGCCTCCGGGATCTCCCGATCAGTCGCTGCTGACCTCCCGATCAGTCATTAACTCTGAGCCAACGCACAAGTTTTCTTGATCCCCGGAATCTCTACCCGCACTCCTTTACCAACATTAGTCGAATTAATAATAAAGGGTAGCAAAAAGGGTTGAAAATATCTGATAATCGGAAATATTCGTTCTCGTGTAACTGAAACGATTTGTTACCGAACACGAGCTAAACATTTGATAATAATAGTTCTGCCGCCGTCAAAATAAACATCCCCTCCTAACTCTTCTCGAATCGAGAGAAAATAGGGCTCAAGGAAATTGCGCGAATTTCTGGTTTTCCCCCAGGATTTCGTTTATTCCAGACCTGTCCTCCCCGGTAATGTTGCAAAAAATTATATTTAATATTTATTAATTATAGAAATACACGGAATTTTCTCCCTTTTACAAAAGTATTATAATAATAAATTAAAGAAAAATGTTAACATAGAGATCAAACCACAATAAAGTAAATTACAATTTACTATAAACAAGCATTGAAAGAAGTAAAAAAAAATGTTAATAAAGTCATCACAGTAATATAACATATTGGCCTATCCCATCTGGCGCAACAACTTAGTTGGAAAAGAATTAAATGAGACATCAAAGAAATCTACCGCATTGGCATATTCATTTGTCACCTTTGGCAGTTTGATAAAGGTGTCATTTCCCAAATACTCCGTCGTAGATAGTGCAACTCTGAAGAAGTCGCGAGTTCAAGGATCTTGTAGGCATATTAAGATGTATCTATTCAAGAATCTGGGGCCAGTCCTTGGATAATTTTGAATAAGAATATCAGATCATTCATGCCATGCCTCTAATTGAGAGTTTGAATCATTTGTCTACAGGCCTTAATGTTAAAGAGCTATAGAGAAAAAACCGAAACAAATCAGAAAAATACTGGTTTTCGGGCCTCCCAGAGGTAGGAAAGTTCGAAAACTTGGGGTTTTAACTAGTACATGGGTACATACAACACACCCAAAGAAAAAGTTTGTATGATCTTTTTCCAGGTAAAATGTACGTACTGACTGAACTACATTAATCAAATCATAGTTCGAATCATGATTTCGAACAAATCGTTATTTACACACATGAATAATGTATTTGGTGTTCATTATTTTGCCACTAGTTTCATCTACACACAATTATAAAACATTCTGCAATATTTTAGACACTTGGAACATTTTCATTATGCTCAATTTATATAATTAGAGAATCTGATTATACAATACCTAATAAATTGGTTTGACTTGTGGTGAGAGCTCTCCTGTAGCTACTGACTGACCTATAAATTAAAGATAGTTTGGAACAAAATCACCAAATTGAAATTAAAAAAAATAGGTACTTAATCTGAAATAATACACCTCAGTCATAATCAGAAAAATAATTACAAAATGGCATTAGTTTTTTAATATTTAAAAATGATATTTTATGGGCAAGTAGAGGATCCATCTTTTAGTACCAGAAGAACAGTACTACATAATCATTCTGTAAATTTGTACTTCTTAGAACAATATAACTGACAATGTAACTAAATAACAATGTAACTAAGGTTACAACAAAAGAAAATTTCCAAAATATTTCCATTAATCCAAATGCATTTAACAATGACAATTCATATTCTTCTGTCTTTCCAGCTTTAGGTAAACTGCCTGTTGTGGCTTCACCATCTCTTCTGAGGCCTTCCCACATTCCTTTTCCCTTGATTGATCGATAATTCAAGGCCAGTCTTGGAAGTCTATCCTGAGACAGTAAAGATGTACCTTCCAGTCTCCTTTGTATTTTAAAACTTTTTTCAGTTAGTGGCTATATTGGCATTCTATTCTGATGTCTTCATTTTATAATCTATCTTCTCGAGTATTATATCCTAACATGGACTTGAGAAATTTCAATTCTTCTGTTTATATATTTCTTAGATCCTTTTTTTGTCACTCAACATTTGGAACTGTACAATAGGGTCAGGAGTTGTAAAACTCATCATGTAAAACTTTAGAGAAGTTTCTCACCTCACTTTGCTTTTAAGAGTTCATTTAATTGTGCTACAATTCCTCAGATAGTGATTAATCTTGTTTATTATATCTTTTTCTTATTCACAGGATATACCACAATCTAGATAAATCATCTGAATACAGAACTGTATCAATATTGGTTTGGGCTTGTGAATTTAGATCACAATGTATTTCATTTCTCCATACTCAGAGTAGATTATCTACATAGATGTTGAATAGGGTGGGAGAAAGTCCACACCCTTTTCACCCTCTGTGGTTTATTTGAATTTCCTGTATTAATTCTTTCCCAGTACCAATAATCTTTGTGTGTTTATGTTCAAATCACATTAATCAGGTGCATTGAATAGCCTCTTTGTCACATTATTGTACATAATTTTTCTCCTTTTACATTGTTGAAAGCCTTATAAATGTCTTTGAAAGCTAGGTGAGTTTCCAACTTATATTCTCTGTTTTTGTATTATTTGTTTTAAAAAGAAAACTTTGTCATAACAGGATCTTCCTTTGTGGAAACCTGGTTGTTCTTCCAAAAATATCTATTCTGAGATATATTGGAGTCTTTCATTTATTATTCCAAGGGTGTTTATTATTTTTAACCTCGGTTATTTTTAAATTGTTGAAGGTAACACATTCTCTTAATTTATCACCATTATTATTAAGACATGTTTCTCCAAAACGACCTATTATATTCAGTATGGACACATTTCCAACTTTGGCATTTAAATCTGGTACTAAAAAGTAGGCCTTGTTATATTTAGATACGAGTTTCTGCAATTCCTTATATAATTTATTTGTTTCTTCTCTTTTCCCTTCTTCTGGGACTATATTTCTATTATATTTAAGATATCTTTATCAAATTTTAATTTAAGAGTTAAAACTCAGATACGAGGGTCACTGCACGAGCTGGAAATGATACCTTCGGAACGTTTTCGTGCCAGAAAACGAACGCTGGTGGTCATGGAAGTAGGCGATTTAGGGCGGCCGCCCCGATGAACACAATTTTTGGATTGAGCGCCTTAAGAAATATATTATAACGATTATTGCGGTGAACAGTGGTGCAGTGGATGAACAGTCAGTAGTCTGAAGTCTGCAGTGGAAGATGAGCTGTGAAGCGTGCATTGCGGCAAACAGCAGTGCAGTGAGCTCTGGTCTGCGCAGTGAATTGTGGTCTGCGCAGTAAATTGCGGTCTGCGCAGTGAATTGTGGTCTGCGCAGTGAATTGTGGTCTGCGCATTGGACGGTGGTCAGCCCAGTGGACCATGGACAGTGCATAGGACTGTGCAATAGTGTAGATTGCAGAGATCAGTGTAAATAAAGTAATCAGAAGTGAACTGTGTAAAATAAATAATCAAGAGAACGGAGTCGTGTGTAAGAAAAAATAATTAAGTGAAGAGGGCAAGGACTGTGTAATTTATGTATAAACAGATCAAGTAGTTTTAGTGTATAATTCTTTACAAATAAACGTTGTTGTTAAATTTTACCCGTGTGTGGTTTTAATTCACCACTGAGAAACGTTACAATATTGGTGTTGATTTATTGTTTTGTTATGGGGACACTTACGGCAGAACGTGTGGTGAGTGCAAAAGGGAAAATGAACCGCCTATTGCGGAGTCCACAAGAGTAGAGTGGTATCAATCCTTTAGGGAAGTATGCTTAGATAGTCTCAATCGGCGCTATTGCAAACAATCGAAAATGGGCGGTGAAAGCCATATCTTTGAAACTGACGAATGCATGATCGGCCGCCAGAAATATTATCGTGGCCGTGTTTGTAGGAGGACAGTGGGATCTGAACAAGATTGGCCGGGAAACGAGAAATGGTTGCGTAGGCTTCCGCGGCCGGACTTTGTTATCTAGGCTCTCCGGGACGAGCCGCGTCACTGACATGGTGGCTGAAAACGAGAAATGGCTAGAAACGAGACATGGCGGGAAACGAGGAGTTCGCCTGGAGGTGTGCCCTTATAACAGAGGGGATTCGGCCACCTTGTTGCAATTGATTTTGCAGTATATGGAACCTGGCACTACAATTTACACCGACTTCTGGACGGGGTACAGCCAGCTAGATCAAAACTACTTTATCTATGAGGCACTCTCTTCACTTTGTGAATCCTGCAACTGAGGTACACACGCATAACATTGAATTCATCTGACGTCCCCTTCGTAGAAGATTGGCCCGAAGGGGCGTTCGCCAAGATTGTCAGAGACTATGCCGAGATTCATTTTGGGTTATGATGGACGCCTTAAGAGAAATGAATTAATGAATTCTGTGTCATTTCCGCAATAAATTTGCTTAGATCTATCTTGTCTGTGTTGTTTATTTTGTGCGTGTCCATTCCTATGATCGCCCTTGACCTCTTGTTTCTGTTAGGTTGGTAGCGCTAAGTGGAAGGGCGAAAACAAGTGAACATCGCACACCACTCATAACCAGCAGATCGTTAGTACCTACTCAGAATTTTATAATTTCATCTTCAGAACTATGAGTTATACAATAATAGTATTATGCTTTCACAATAAACCACAACGAGAAATGAAACAAAAAACGGAGTAATTTAACACTTAAATCTAGCACACAATTCAAAGTTTTACTGATTTGTTTCGATCATTACTAGTATGAAAAAAACAGGAATCCTGGATTTAAAAAAGACATTGCTATCATAGTGGAGTTCAAATTTCAGGCAGTTTTTACTACCCTGCAGTAGTATTTTAACACACTCAAAACTTCAATTCAAATGCCAGAAAGGTGAAAAATCATGGTTGTATTACAATTTTATAAAATATGTGGCAATTTGTTTTTATTATTTCTGTTCTAGGTATACTATCACTATATTTTATTTACAGTACATAATTTATTTTTATTGCATGACTTGTTAACATACATCAAACGTTATTACATATCAAATTGTAATACAATTTTACAATCACTCTATTATTAAATACGGAACCTGTTTTTTTCATTCCTATTCCTTAATACTTAGGTCTAATTCACATTTCTGTCAATACTAACCACGCTGTACTCCAACTCGAACGTCAGGCCGGTTACTTCTCCCTTGCGACTTTCGCGCACCACTTCTGGGAGATAACTTCCTGCAATCAGATTAAACAAATTAGGGGTATTGCGATATTTACAATCGGTGACATCGATACTTTTGTTCCCGATATTTCCTGTACCACTGATGATACTGTTAAATAGGCAACAATGTACAATCGAAATCAAAGATAAGAAACGGAATGAAAAAACAAATGATTGTGTCGTAATAAATCGTTCCAATCGCGTTATCATTTGAGGCGCTTTCTTTCGTCCCATTTCGCTAAGGCTATTTGTAGTAATGCCAGAGGAAAGAAATAGCCTACTGCTCTCGACTCGTATATGATGAGTCATATATTAGATATTAATGGAAAATACTCGTGAATTATGACAATTTATTGAAAATATAGAACCTAATTAAACACGAGTAAAACGCATTGCAAATTTAATACTCTATGGGATTTTTTGTTAACTCTACCATGCCTGCCGCTACCGATTTTAATAACACTGTTAACGCTGTAATAAAAATAACGCTGTTACAGTACTTCAATCTCTTATGCTGGCCTTACATTAGCAATACGTTTCCGCAATATCTTTTAGCAATTTGTTTCTAATTCTTACGGTCATCTTTACACTAGCAAGAGCAAGGAGGGGAAATATATTGCCAGAAAGATCTGAGCAAGATCTTTCCGGCAAGATATTGCCGATCGCATTACACTAGGACAATTTGTTGCCGTGTTTGGTGACGGCGCGAGAAAAATGGCGCATGAAATTAAGTGAGGTTGTATCTCAATTCCTGACATAACTAGTGGAAGGCAGAAGATTCGAGTTGCGGCCGCACTTATTGTGCTAAATGAGGAGATGAAGTAACGCTGACGATTTGTGTGTGTTACTGAATTTTAAGAACAAAGGAAAAGGAGGCTTGTGCGATTTAGGTAGAAGTGTCTGAATATTTTTCAGAAAAAATTATTTCGTGGATTTCGATTTCCGTGGGAGCAAAGTAACTTTCTTTTAATAAAAAGTGAAATTACTATATCAGCAACAGTTTTAAAATACCCATTTCCTACAACTTATATATTATAGAGTAATCTTAAAATTGATTTTAATTAGATTAATTTCTATACTTTTAACGTAAAAAATTAGTAATTAGGGGGCATCTATGGCTGAATCAAAATTTGAACCTTTGATAATCAACCATAGTGGGAATATTTATTACTACTTTTATTGCCGTAAACCTTCACACACACATTTTGCGAAAAAATGCATATTAAAATGGAATTATTACGTCTATGTACAACCGTACGTACTTCCTGCGTATGAAACTGTGGTCATCAATGGCATCTTTCAGCAATATCTTGCTCAGACTCAATCCAAATCTAGTTCTGGCAACAGCCGGCAATATCTTTCCGAGGATGGAAGCACATAAGTTTACTTTACGACCGGAAATCTAGCAAGAAATATTGCCAACATCAGAAATATTTATTGCCGCAAATTTTACACAGGTAACTTTTGTTGCGAAATAATATTGCTCGCCATTATCTTGCAAGTGTAAAGCCAGCTTTAGGCAGTATATTAGAGAAGTTACATTATTGTCATTTAGGCATTAAAAAGACCAAATCGAGAGCTAGGGATTTAGTTTTTTGGCCATGTATGAATAAAAGTATTGAAAACGCAATTCAAATCTAAAACATGTTTAAAATACCAGAGAAATCAGAGTTTTGAAACTCTCAGAGCTTAATGGAACATACCCCCTAAAATTAAAATATCAGCTTCAAATTCAATGGGTCGCAACATCAGCCAAATTGACTGAGGAATATTAATTTTGGAGAAAAATGTTTGAACGGTCACTAGTGCTGTTCACAGACGGACGGTCACACAGAAAGAACACTCGGAGAGACTAACCGACCGACAGACCGACAGACAGACCGACCGACAGACAGACCGACAGACAGACAGACCGACAGACAGACAGACCGACAGACAGACAGACCGACA